AGTGCAAAGACAACGAGGTTTGCAGAATTCAATGACGCACGACTTCATGACCTCTTATTCAACTGCCTCTTACACCCCTGCCCTTCCTCGCATAGCCGACTGCTGCTCTGTATTTTGTCCCCCCCCCCTTTAATCACACCTGACAGGCTTCCATTGTAACCTGAACCGCCATGCTTCGACTACTGCCCCGCCCCTCCTCTTCCCCCTCACCATGAGCACCCGCATCTAAGACTAGCAGCTCATGCTTTATTTATCCGTCACATTTCAGCCTTCTAGGTCGATACTTAATTGGACAGTTTATTAACAGGCAATTAAATTCTGCAAACCTCGTTGCCTTTGCTTTGATTAAAATTTATTCCGGGAAAACAATGCTTCAATATGTTGTTGGACTAAAAGTCTTTTGCAAGTAACAGATCGAGAGGACATAAACAAATTAATATTTCATTGCTCCATGGCTTCTGCTGTCCAAAATTATAACTCAGTGGGTACTATCAGCATCCGCTAAACGTATGCCTGAAGATTAATAATCTAAATCGCACGTTTGCCAACGTCTGACCTCTTAGATTCGCAGTTATTGTCTTCAACGTCAATTGTCATATAAATTAAACAGCACCCACAAACGCAACCTCAGCCAATACCAATGTCTGTAAATGTCAAGTAGCAGAATACTGATGAAACGTAAGACTACAGCACGGATTTAGCTTATTAATATGTCCTCCAGCTTTCCTATGTGGCTCCTGAGAGATATCCCAGTGTTTTGATGTTGTGGTGAAAAGTTCGTCAAAATTTCACCAGTACGTGTGCTGATCAGGTTGGTAAAGAGTTTCTATATAGGGCTATATGTTAAACCGAACATACGAGCACTACGCTGTTAGCGAACTGAATTTGCGAACATCTGGTTTTAATGCTTATACAAATCGTCACGCTGGACCTGAGGATTCGTGCACTTTACTCCACATCTACAGCTCAATTTTGTGCGCTCTAAAAATTACCAGTAATTCTTGGTCAAAAGGTGTTCGAACGGTTGCTACAACCTATCCCAGTTCACCCCACCAATCTGATCGTTGAGAAACCTACTTGGGTAGCAGAAGGCCTTACTGGTAGCAACATTTGTAAATGCCGTTGCTGTCAGAAAAATGAAAAAAAAGCACTCAGAAATTACCCCACCTGAGGAACCAAATATTTTCCCTTCACTCATTGGAGAGGCCACCAGACGATAGCGTTGTCCAATTGGCGCTGTAAATGGGAGTAAGAGTGGAGCAATGCAGATGAATCGGTTCAGAATCACATAATAATCATAACATATGAATGCGGAACATGCGCATCGGGCAAAATAAACGAAAATAGTACAGTCAGCAAAAAAAAACCATTAACGGACACAGAGTGAGAGAGACATAGGGAGAGTGTTTGATAGTATGTACTTGGAGTCCTTACTGTTCAGAGATTGTGACATCCGAGCAGCAAGTTAGCAGCTTGCTGCAAAACCTGCGATAGCTCCCCTGACAGCTTCGCTAATCCCCAAAACACCTCTTGGAGATGTACAAACTTGCCAGATGACTGATGGTAGCGCACGTACTGGGCATATTAATTAAAATAATTGTTCGGGAGTTTTTACTAAGACATTGTCATGAGGGGCATACCCCTCAAGCTGACAAGGGAAGACTTCGTGCTTCTCAATAGCTACCAGTGGGGCAATGAATTACTCGGGTGAGTCGCAACCGCCAAACTCTTTTAGGTCGAACAAGCAGCCAAAAGAATTGTCCGTGGAAGACAGATGAACACAAGAATTGCCTTACGTTTGAACTTAGGGGCACTGGTGTAGAGTCAGACTACTATTACGCAGCCGAATAGGTAGATATTTGTAAGGATTTGCAATACTTTTAGTAAGCCCATCCAAGTGAGAAACTGAAAACACTGTAGACTAAAAGATAAAACTCATAAAAGACTGCCAGTTTGTTAAGCAGCCCCACCCGAAAGGTGAAAAGCGCAGTCTATGTGAGATAAATTCCAGTCAACTGGTTGATGTTACACATCACTATGAGCTGTAGAGTCTGCTTTATATGCTTGTGGTAACCATTCTGCTTTTACTGCGAAGGTTTCGAAATATGGGGAATCTAATTGTACCTGAGACGTCATTGGCTCCAATACTCCGATTTAGTTATTTTTTCTAGTCAACAAACGGTACATTAACAAAATAGCTTTTAGCTGAAACAAATAGAATTCATACAAAGTTGGATTCTATCAACCAAAATAAAAAAAAAA